TATAGTTTTATGTTTAGGAATGCTCAACTCCTCTGCAAACACCAATCCCAATGGAAATTGCTTGCGCCTGTTCCTGCTTCCATGCTGGATGTTTGGGGGTCCGTTTTCGAACATCTGGTTCAATATCGGTACCAAAAAGGCAGCCGTTTTGCCAGATCCTGTCTGGGCACAAGCCATCACATCTCGTTTCGATATTATTATCGGTATTGCGTACTTTTGTACTGGGGTAGGGGAATCATAACGAGCCAATGCAATATTGCTGCGAATTAATTCTGTCAACTGTACCTCCTCAAACTACAAATAAATTCATTTATTGTTAAAATCAATAACGATTTTTTTAAGGCACAAAAAATAGGATAGGAAATGAAGGAGAAACCTGATCAAAAGAATGAATGAATCCAAATTGAAATTTATGTTTTATGTTAATAATCAAGTTTAACTTGATTATTAATGTTTTTTCATTGTTTGAAAGGATTTACAGATTATAAACACAAAAATAAAATTATCGGAAATTCTTGTAAATATCATGTTGTAAGTACTACTACTTCTACTGTCTTTTATTGTACATAAAAATACCTTTTTTTTATGCTAAAGTATATCTCAAAATGAATATTTATGAAAATGAAACTGATATTCTTGGATTATATAGAAGAGTGAAAGTAGACACACCTGTGGAGTAGCTATTTATGTAGAGGAAAACATAAAAGAAATTTTTTTAAAATCTGACAATGAAACTTACATTCTTGGATACAAATTATATAGAGAAGACAGTAAAAGTAGGCACACTTGTGTTAGGAGTCGTAAGTCAAAAAGTGAGGCCTCGTTAATATTTAGCTCGCAAAATTTCAACTTCTGAGGGTTGAGGCTATATGTTGATTCCAACATATAGCAGATGAAACAATATTTCGAATGACTGTGAACTGGATATTATTGTGAGACAATGCCTATGCCATCAAGGATGAAAGTTCTTAAATACATTTGGTTCTTGCAAATATAAGCAAATTTCTTACAGGAGTATTGATATTACCTAGAGTAATTGATTGTGACCATCACATAGTTACAGTCAGGCAAGGACCATCTTTGACAGAAATAAAACATTAGCAAATAGAAAGTGAAAAATATGATTCTGAGTTAATTAATATGTGGATATCCTTGGTGAATTGGAAATATCTCAAAAAAATTAATGAAAATACATCCCACATGTAAAGAATAGAGGAATGAAACCATAAATTTGGAAATGAAGATTTCTCCCTCTGAAACGTCAAAAATTCTGAAAATGAAAAAGAAGTATCAGGAAAAAAGTATAAACCAATTGAATGCTCAATATTGGATATATTAGTTAAAGATAAAACTCTACAACTGAAAAATACTTTATGCTTCAAACAAAAACACTTTCTAAGATATCAATGAATTTGTGAGATGTAAGGCCGATTGAATTCTTTACCATTTCAATTTTATAGAAAAGTCTTTACTGAATGTTTTTTTCTAAATGATAAATTCTTTGACTAGCCTGATAATTTCATGAATTAATAAATACGTCAATTATATAATGAATAAATTTCATTTATTCTATTCTGATGCTTAATGATAGTCAAAAAAACTGTAAAGTTTTCAAGATAATTTGATTCAATTAGCACCTCTATCTCATATGGTATATTTTTTGTAACTAGTTGTGTTGTGAAATACACATTCAACCATTCGGTAAATTCAATAACAAAAAATTGAATTTATAGTAACGTCAATATACTCACAGATGTAATGTGACTCGGCACTTTATCCCCGGTTGCTTCAACAGGTATATCTTCATACTTGCTGAAATTGATTCCAGTATTGCCAGTGCCGAACAACTCAACTTCGATACGTTCATCTCTGGCCAAGGGAATGGTCCAATCATTTTCATTTCTTCGACTGTCACTCCATCGGCCACCTCCGGAACCTCCTCCGCCCCCACCGGAGTTGTCATTCCATCGACCCGTTTCGCGTACAGGTTTCTCCGGTTCCTGCCATCTGTCATTACGGGGCAGGTCATTATCCCTGTCCTGCCTGGAATCCCGGCTGCTGCCTTGATTCCATTCGTTGTTTCTACAGAAAGAATAATAACTTCATATGTCAAGTAACTTTCAATTCATCAAATTATATTTCAAATCATTTGGATCATTGCTTTCACTAATATTGTTAATATATCACTTGCTTCTGAGTTCACAGTCTGGACTATAATTGATATCATTTAAAAATAATGTTGCACCGATTCAAAAGGAAAAAACACGTTTCATTTAAAGGAAAATATATTAACTTCAAACTGATTTATGAATTTACATGAATAACCTAAAGATCTTACATCCAAAAAGGTCGTTAGGAAGTACAATTGTATACAGTGGTACATTCATCTCTGACCATTGTCAGAGATGACCATTCATCTCTGACGATTGTCTCCCCCAGTATTGAATCTACTTTTGTCAATACAAATATCAAGTCGATATAGTTTAATGAGAGTTCCCTTGAACAGTTCTTAAGAAGTACGAATATCAACTACTCAAAAAATTTCGTTGTCGTTCTTGTAGACTATCGCAATTGCTCCTAATGGCCACACACCCCTTGGCATGTTATTCATTTATTTATTTATGGCATTGCCTATTTTTACAAAATAATTAAGAAATTCACACATATAACTGTCAGCTAGATGAAAGGAAAAAATATTAAAAAAAGAAAAGGCAAAAATAAGCCAATCATTACATACAATCTTTTAAAATGATTCCAAAGAAGAATTAAAAAGTTCTAAGTCCACATTATAAGTGTTTGCAAGCCTCAAAATTCTACCCACAGTTGGTATAATGAAAGGATACTCTGAAGATTTCTGTATTTCTTGTTTTCTTTGGAAAAGTTTGTTGAAAATAATAAAGACAAAACATTCAAATTCGGGAAATCAGGAGTATAGAAATTAAATTGTGAAACTTATCCTAAGTTGTATATTGGTCAAATCGGCAGAACATTTAGGAATCGCATCCAGGAACATCAAATCAGCTATGTAAATAAGAAAACAAATTCAAAGGAAAATCATATCTTTAACGAAGATTTTAAAATTTTACACATAGAAAATAAGCAGTGGAAATTAATAACCTTAAAAATTTTAACATTTTACTGAATCACCAACTACACCACCATTACTGAACTTATTTTCTTAGAAACCAATGTTATCCTAGTCCTATTAGATATTCATAATTGAGGATGTACTATAGGTATATAAAACGTTTGTTTGAAGGTGATTGACAATGTTTCATGATGAATTTCATTATTTCGGACTTCCATTGTCTGATATTATATAAAATGATTTGAAATCCCTGAAATAACTAAAAAAGAAGAAATAAAAATTAAAGAATCTGTTTAAAATCTGTTTTTCCGTTAATCAGCTGTCACCCCCATATGAACGACAACTCTCAGAAGTTGACAAACTTGTGCGAGCTAAGGACTAACGAGGTCTTACCTTTTAACGTGTGATTCCTAACACGGTTATTTTTAATTCTTCTTTTTTAGTTATTTCAGGGATTTCAAATCATTTTATATAATATCAAACAATGGAAGTCCGAACTAATGAAATTCATCAGTATATAAAAGTTGAGTAGATACTCTGGGTGATTATAATCGAGTAAGTACCTGTGTGGGTAGTTCCCACTAGTGATTACTTGGGATGTATAAAAATTAGAGTAAAGAATTACTTTTAGTATTTGCTATGAAAAAGCTACTGAGATAACGAAACATGTGATATTTTTTGAAAATAAAATTTGTGAAGATCAAATCGTTAGGTGTAGTTTGGTAAACCTATTAAAAGTTTTCAATGATCGATGCTCCACTCTTATTTGATATATTTTTCTTCAGGTTGCTGATATCTAGTGAGAAGCAGGAAACCTGTACAATTTTCTACCTTAGTTGTTTGCCTCCAAATAAGAAACTATTATGTATAGTACTGGGTACTTTCTAGGTAGCTAATTAAAAATTGCTTAGGGTGTCTAGTATTTTACGCTCAAATATTCTTTGTTTGTCACCACTTATCCAGCTGTTTAAACCAGCGTCATGCCTTTGTCGATTCTTTAACAAGCGGTACACTCAAAAAATTCAATTATTCAAAACACAAAACACACTTTTATAAATAGGTTTCAAAAAACTGTTTTTCCAATAATCTGTTACATCGTCCTTTATTTATGAGGACATGGTCTATGATTGAATTTTTTGTCAGACCTATGCGAGTAGCTCCCTCTAGGATAATTTGGTTTTGTATTTCGAAACCATTGCTTAAAATTACCTGCTTATATTAATTGGTTGTTGCGGAATTTTTGGGCAGATCAAGGTTAATTGAGTTTTCTTCAAATTTGAACCACTCCAATTTTTTAAGCAGGATTTCAAGTAGAAAACAGATAAAGATTAGATATCATAATAAGTAGTAACTTATATTAAGAACAATACCAATTTTATACTATGAATACTAAGCCAAGATGATGGTTCGTCCAGATGCATGAAAGTAAAGAAATCAGTCTTCAAAAGGTTTAGAAGTTCAGTCATTTCTTAATTGAGAAATAAACGCTACTATTCGTTCAACTGCATAACTGTTTAAAATCAGTACTGGTTTGAGAAAAGTATTTCAATAACATCAAAATTATTTGTTTTGTGTGGGTTTATGAAAAATATAAATCAAATTTTTTTCTATTTAAAAGAATAAACCGCACCAATTATATTCAGTTATTAGTGGTGGAACAATGGTAACATAACTATTAAATAATATAATGGAAATCCAATATATTATCTCCCCTACATCAAGTTCAGTCTCTCCATGGTATGTTTAATTTCATTCTTTATTTATATGGGAATTTAATTTCATATTATTCATACTGGAAATTTCATTTCATACAGGCACCGAACATCCAATAGCCAAAAAAATAAGTTGGTATAAAGTAATAATCCAACCAATTCATATGTGAAAAAACATCAGTTAAATATTAAGAGCATACCTGTGAACATATTCCTCAATATCAGAAGGTAAGTCAAAGTTGATCACATGTTTCACATGAGGAATATCAAGCCCTCTTGCGGCCACGGCAGTAGCAACTAAAATAGGAGTGTTTCCCGATCTGAACTGTCTTAATGCATCCTCTCGTTCTCTCTGGCTACGGTCTCCATGAATTGAAGTTACTGGATAACCTTCATTGTGCAGAAACTCTTCCAAAAAATCCGCACCTTTTTTCGTCTCGACGAAGACAAGCGTAAGACTTTCTGCAGAAGGCTGTTGGAGATCAGCCACATTGAGTAAGTCGAGAAGAAATGAGCGCTTGTCATGTTCTTCTACCCAAACAACCTAAAAAAACTTTCCTTGCTCATCATAATTTCGAAAATAGATTTCTACTTACTTTTTGGGTAATATTTTCTGATGTGCTGCCCACTCTTCCAACAGCCAAGAAAATATAATTATCTAAGAAATCTCTAGCCAGCATCTGAATAGGAGATGGAAATGTAGCTGAAAACATCAATGTCTGCCTTTCTCCAGTTCTTGGCATAGTTTCTTTCTCTACAATTCTTCTGATTTGCACTTCGAAACCCATATCCAACATTCTATCTGCCTCATCAAGTACTAGGTAACGGCAATAGTCAAGTCCGATACGTCCTCTGTCAATCATGTCTAATAATCGACCAGGAGTAGCCACAAGTAAGTGACATCCGCGATCAAGTTCTCTCATCTGGTCAACAATATGAGCGCCACCGTAGCTGCATGAAACATTTGAGCCTCAATATTAAAAATAGGGTATATCACACAACATATAATTTGCTTCAGATTTTTTTATATGGAACTCTCAATTATATCTATGAAAATTTAAAAAAACCATTGCCATAAGTAGAAAAATCCCTATGTCATTGAAAATACTCGAGAAAAGGGATTTAAATTACATTAGTGACTCAAAAAAAAAAAATTTATGATGACTTCAATGCAGTATGACATTTAATGGTATAACAAAAAATTATAATCTTGAATTATAATCGATTAGCCAGTTCCTTGAACAACCTTCAAGTCTTCAATATATCAGATTCCCACTTCAAAAACCATATTTCTGACCTAGCTATTTAATATTTTCAGCTTGGGCTGTTGTATTATGTTAAGTGTTATTTGCCTGCAAGAATTAGATTAGTTCATATTGTTACATTTTGTGAATGTTTTATATTTTATCTTACTATTTTGTACCTATTATTCCTATAACTAACTTTCAATCCACTAAATTGCATCGACTACTATATAAAACTGTGATATTTGTATTTGAATTGGGCCTGCCCGTGTATAAATAAATAAATCTTCCCAGTAGTGTTTTTGTATGTAATAATTAGACATCAAATTATATGCATTCATATGTTTGCATGTGCAAATACAAAGTAGCAATGTATAAGAGTTCCTTGCAAAAACTGAACGTAATACAGAATTATATTCTGAAAATAATCTTAAAGAAAAAAGAACATATCACACCAATTTTATATATTCAGAAGATCTTAGTAATATTCGAACATTATACTTTCATAGTTTATGTATGTTTGCATTCAAAAACATAAAAAGCATCATCGTGAGTATAAGCATATAAAAAGCAACTACCACACATCTACCCCCAGAACCAATATAATATTAACACGGTGGTAAACTTGGTTGAAAGCTTTATCGTTTTATGCCACAAAAGAAGAAGTTGAAAAATTTGATAGATCAGACACCATTGCAATCGATTCAAGCCAGCTGGTATTTGAGGATTCTTCATTGAAAAAAAAGCTCTTATTGTAACACATTTCAGCAATATACCCAATGCAATTGAGAAAATGTGCAAGTCTTTGGTTTGGAAATATTAAAAAAATTATTGAACAGGGTAATGCGCCTTCAAAGTTCAAAATTAAACGCAGTTTTATATAAAAACCTCGGTCTTGAAAGAATAAAGAAAATTGAGACAATTATCAACGGCACTGGATGAAGAGGCCTCTGCAGGAATGGTGTCAAATTTCAAGTTCTGTCTAGTCTCGTCAGTTGACGTCGGAAGGTCATTTTCAGCCTATAAATTAATATCAAGTGACAAATGTCACAAGTTTGCTGCAGAAAAACATATATGTAACTAATATTAACATATGTATAATATATGAATATAATGTTAAAATCAACATAAATTCTTATAATGGTTTTTTGATTTTGCACATTTCACATTTTTTTTAGTGCATATTTGCATACATATTTCAACATTTTGATAGTGCAAATAATCTAATGTCTAGTAATAAATAATCATGGCTACACAAGTAAGAAAACAGGAATTATTTTTTCAGATTCACACTATTTTTCAACAGTATTGCTCAATACAAATATTACAGCTTATTTATATAAATGTGCTTTGTAGAATTACAGAATATTTATTTGCACTACTATATATCTTTTGAGATCTGATTTACAATAGAAGACCAATAAAAAATATTATGATATCATCCAATTTGAAATATCTAAATTTTTAGATTGTTTGGTTACTAGACAATATTCACTTATTTATTTATTATATTAGGGTAAAAATTTATCATTTCACAAACATTCTAGGATGCTTTGATTGAATATATAAAATCAAAATATTAAATATCAACAGTTTGTAAGAGTGTAGCACTTTAAATTATAACTGAACACATCTATTGCATACTTATACTATATATTTGTTTCATTTATTTATTTGCCTTTTGTTGTTAGATGTTATATTCATGTTTGTATTTATTATGGTTACTAAGAAAATCTCTGTTTATAGAGGGATAAATCATATCATGCAATTTACTTGTATATCATGTATTGAGTTTTANTCATTTGAGTTGAAACTAGTTTCGCTAATCAAAAAATTAATAAAATCAATAATTAGGTATGATGAGGCAAATCTTCAGGGACTATTGGAGCTCTGTCTCTTGTCACCTCACATTCCATATTGGAAATGATCAGGTCCAATACCAATGGAATGTACTTGTTCCTTCGTCAACCATATTTCCCTAAGAAACGCTACATGATACAAATTTTCTGATAAAAATTAATTTAGGTCATCAATCTTGTTGCTGAGACATTGCATATTTAGATGGAAAATATTCATTTCAGCATCCAAAGGTCTATGTTCACTATTCAAGTGTGTACGAGAAACTTTATTTAATCTTTTTTTATCCTAACTGGTATTGATCTAATGAGTCTTCAGTAGTATTTATAAAAAAGAACATGATCTATTTGTATCTACATTATATTTGAGTTGGTTATCTAAGAAATGTTGTCCCAGTCTGAAGTTGAAACGTGTGAAGCGTATTTTACTAGGCCAGAAACATGCTTCATATACTTGCTCTTTCAGGTGTGGTTCAACTCCGATCATGAAAGACTGGTTGTCTTTTTGTCTATTTTGTGTTGGTATTTTTTTATGTAAGTGTTTTCAGAATTTGTTTGTTCCTTTATTTTTTCCACAAGAACTCCATCTGGGACACCTGAGACAAATAACCATACCTTCTTATTTTTGTTTTCTTTCATCCCATGGAAATGTTCGTCACAGCTTCCAACATCTTCTTTTTCGTCTGAAAACAATCCTTAATTCCAGTTCATGTTTTGTTAAGTTAATGATTTCATTCAATTTTCGCTCCGTTAGAATTTTCAGTATTTTGGTTGCAACATGATTTACTTCAATTTTTGCCTCAGCCTTGAATACGGAATTCGCCATTGACCCTGGTTGTGGGTTTGTGTTTATTTCACTCGATTCCAATGACGTTTTTTCGGTTGGTTTCTACTCTGTGTTTTGCTCCAGATTTTTTGTTGGGCCAGATTGAATGTTTTGATTGTGATTGTATTGAAACAATTTTTCTTCAAGATATGCAATTTTCTCATTCAACAATGCAATTACACATTCCTTGTAACTTGTCTTTATCCTGTATAATTTGCCTAAGCATTTTTTCGAAAATATCGTTGGTTTCCAGATCATCAGATTCTTTTAGATGATTTGATTTATAGCCAGTCTTCAAGTATGCCCACTGACTATACGTGAAAGATTTCTTTCCTTATACGAGGAATTGGACAAATTTCGAATATGCAGTTGGTTACCTCGTTCACAGGCAGATGGGGCGACGACAAACCTGTTGTTTGTTGTAGTCTTCAGCTTAGTTCGAGGAATGATACTCTGACGAAATTCGATTTTCAATTATCGGAAATCATCGACTTTATGCTGATGATATACACTACCTTGCACTGACGAGTGGCCAAACAGCCCGAAACCGGTCTG